ATCAAAAACACCACCAACAACAACTGTTGGTGAGGATGCAGGAAAAAAAGGAAGCCTCATACACTGCTGGTGGGAATGCAAGCTAGTACAACCACTTTGGAAAACAATATGGAAGCTCCTTAAAAAACTAAACATAGATCTGCCTTATGATCCAGCAATACCACTCCTAGGGCTATACCCAAAGCAGTGCTACTCAGGTTATTCCAAAGGCACCATATTTATTGCAGCACTATTCACAATAGCCAAGCTATGGAAACAGCCAAGGTGCCCCACTACTTATGAATGGATTAAGAAAATGTGGTATTTATACCCAGTGGAATTTTACTCAGCCACAAAGAAGAATAAAATTATGTCATTTGCAAATAAATGGATGGAACTGGAGAATATCATCTTAAGTGAAGTTATCCAGACTCAGAAGGTACATTCCTTCTATTCCTAGATTTCTTAAACCTTTTATCATGAAGTCGTGTTTGATCTTTTCAAAGGCTTTTTCTGCATCTATTGAGATGATCAAGTGGTTTTTTTTCTTTGATTCTGTTAATGTGCTATATTACATTTATTGATTTGCATATGTTGAACCACCCCTGCATCCCTAGAATGAAACCAACTAGGTTGTGGTAAATGCTCTTTCTGATATGTTGTTGGATTTGCTTTACCATTATTTATTGAGGATTTTTGCATTGATATTCATTGAGAACATTGGCCTATAGTTCTCCTTTTTGGATATGTCTTTGTCAGATTTGGGATGAGTGTAATACTGGCTTCATAGAATGAGTTACTCAGTGTTCCTTCCCTTTCGATTTTGTGGAAAACTTTAAGGAGAGTTGGTATTAGTTGTTATTTAAAGGTCTGATAGAATTCAGCTGAGAATTCATCAGGTCCTGGGCTTTCCTTTTTTGGGAGACTTTATCACTGCTTCAATTTCATTTCATGTTATAGATCTGCGTAGGTGGTTAGTATCCTCTTGGTTCAGTTTTGGATGGTCATACCTATCTGAAATTTTGTCCATTTCTTCAAGATTTTCAAATTTATTGGAATGTAGGTTCTCAAAGTAGTCTCTGATGATTCCCTAGATTTCCTTGGTGTTTGTTGTTATCTCCCCTTTTTATTTCTGATTTTGCTACTTTGTGTCTTTTCCCTCCTCATTTTAGTCAGATTTGCTAGGGGCTTGTTGATCTTGTTTATTTTTTCAAAGAACCAGCTTTTTGTTTCATTGATTCTTTGTATGGTTTGTTTGGTCTCTTCCATTAATTTCAGCCTTTATTTTTATTATTTCTCTCTTTCTGCTTGTTTTGAGTTTTGTTTGTTCTTGTTTTTCCAGGAGTTTGAGATATTAGGTTATTTATTTGAGATCTGTTATTTTAAGCTTTCCTCTTAGGACTGCTTTTGCTGTGTCCCATAGGTTCTGATCAGTTGTGTTTTCATTTTCATCAACTTCAAGGAACTTTTCAATTTCCTCTTTTATTTCATTGATGACCCACTAATAACTGAGTAATGTGTTATTCAGCTTCCAATTGCTTGCATATTTTCTGGTGTTGTTTTGTTGTTGAATTCTAGTTTTAATGCATTGTGATCAGGTAGAATGCACGGGGTTATTTCTATTTTCTTATATTTGCTAAAGCCTGTTTTGTGCCCTAAGATATGATCTATTTTGGAGAAAGTTGCATGGGCTGCTGAGAAGAATGTATATTGTGCAAATATTGGATGAAGTGTTCTGTAGATATCAGTTAGATCCTTTTGAACTATGATGTAATTTACTTCTATAATTTCTAAATTGATTTTTTGTTTGGATGACCTATCTATTGGTGATAGGGGGGTAATAAAGTCTCCCACCACCACTGTGTTGGTATTTAAGTCTTTCAGGGTATGTTTGATGAAATTGGGTGCAGTGACATTGAGTGCATATAGATTGGTATTTGTTATTTTCTTTTGGTGTATTTTCCCTTATTAGAATGAAGTGTCCTTTATCTCATTTGATCAATGTAAGTTTGAAATCTACTTTGTCTGATTTAAGTATTGCTGCTCATGCCTGTTTTTGGGTATGATGGGCTTGGTAAATTATCTTCCAGCCTTTGACCCTAATTCAGTGTTTATTTCTGTCAATGAGATGGATCTCCTGTAAACAACAGATTGTTGGATCTTCTTTTTAATTCAGTTTTCCAAATGATGTCTTTTGATGGAGGAGTTGAGTCCATTGACTTTCAGTGTTAATATTGATAGGTATGTGGTGATTCCTGGCATTTAGTTGTTTTTGTTATTTAAGGTCTTGATTGTGTTAAGCTGAATCAATGCCACTCTCTGATTCCTTGTCTTTTCTTCTCCTGTGGCTTGATACTGCCTGTCCTCTTATGGTTTTGTTTTCTTTCATCTTCTCTGTGCAGAACTCCTTTTAGAGTCTTCTGTAGTGGTGGCTTTGAGGTCATATACTGTTTTAGTGTCTGCTTATTTTGGAAGATTTTTATTGCTCCATCTATTTTGAATGGTAGTTTTGCTGGGTAGAGCATCCTAAGTTTGAAGTTATTTTCATTCACTGCCTGAAATACCTCACTCCCTACCTTTCTTGCTTTTAAGGTTTCCATTGAAAAATCTGTGGTTTTGATGGGTTTATGTTAATATGTTATTTGTTTTTTCTCTCTTACAGCCTTCAGTATTCTTTCTCTATTCTCTATGCCAGTTGTTTTAATTATAATATACTGTGGGGAAGTTCTATTTTGGTCAAGTCTGTTTGGTGTCCTGGAGGCTTCCTGTACCTGAATGGGCAAAAATTCAGGAGATTTGGGAAATTTTCTGTTATTATTTTATTGAATATTTTATGAATCCCTTTTGCTTGAACCTCTTCTGCTTCTTCAATACCCATGATTGTCAGGTTTAGTCTTTATATATCATCTTTTAAATTGCTGTTGAATAAGATTGGCAAGCATTTCATGTGGTATTTTTGCACCTGTAGTCATCAAAGACATTGGTCTGTATTTTCTTTTAGAAGCAGGCTAATACTGAATTTGTAGAAGCAGTTTATAAGGGTTTCATCCCTTTCTGTTTTCTGGAAATAGTCTGAGGATCATTGATTTTTTTTCATTAAAATTTAAGAATCATATAGTTTTTCTCACTTGTGGAATTCAGGGGAAAGTAAAAGAAAAAAGATTTAAAAGATCATGAAAGTAAAACTGAGAGTATTAAGCAGGTAGAAGGGCAAGGGAAAAGGGTTGTTAGGAGGGGAATAAGAAAGAGTAACAGAGAGGGATGGATATGATCAAAGTACATCAAATGCATGTATGTAAATGTCATGATGAAACCCCTTACTATATGTAGTTTAATATGTGCCAATAAAAAGATTATGAAATTCATATATGAAATGGAATTTATTTCTATTGTTTTAATTTTAAATTGCATTATATAATTATATGCAATGATATGCTCAGATACTAATGAATTTTGGCAAATAGGTATCAATAAATAAAGCATTAACATCACTCCAGAGCAAACTTGAGCTGCTTCCCAGACAACATGATCCAGAAGCAAACATCAATCTCTTTGCTTCAACAATATGTTAACAAATTTCTGGTGGTAGTTCTAGCTCTGGATCTGGAGCTGTAAATTGCACCAATGCTGTCTGTAGCTCCATGGTTGGTACTAGACCTGATGCTGGAGCTGGTTTAATTTGATACTGGTGTTAGCTTCAATTTTAGGTGGCAGCATGGCTGTCAATGCTGGATCAGGTTCTCTCTAGGAATTTGTTGGTAGAGCTGATACTGGTCCAGTTCTGGTGTTGACACTAATTCTGGTATTGATATTGATGCTGGAGCTGGAACTAATGAATCTAGCTCTGGATCTGATAGTAAAACTGGTGAGAGAGCATTACACTGCATTTTGAAGTACCCCCATTCAATAACACACCTCCAAGAGTTTTTCCTTAAAACATCCATGTAAACAACTGATTTAAGGCTATTTTCTTTTGTTAGATTGTTTCATAGTGTTTCAAAGTTACTTTATTAGTGCACAATAGTTACACAAAGTGAGAGGTTCCATTGTGATATTTTCATGCATACACATAATGTGCTTTGATCATTTTTACTCCCTCTATTCTTTCTTATCACCCTTCCACACAACTCCCCCCTTTAAACTTTCTGACAAATTTTTAATTGGTTTCATTGTGTCTTTTCATATGTACCACAATGTATTTCAGTCATATTCCCCCCCACACCCTCTTCATTCTCTCTCCCAGCTCCCAGTGTTCCCCACAATTGTCCCTGTTTTATGTTCATGCCAGAAAGAATAGAGGGAGGGATAAGAGCAGAAGGATTTGTCAATCAGTATTAAAATAGTTAAGTGGAAAGTAAGGTCTGGTGTTCTATTGCACAGTAAGTGACTAGAGATAATTATAACATAATACATACTTTTAAAAAGTTAGAATAAAGGCCTCAAATTATTTTCACCAAAAAAGAAATGATAACATTATGAGGGAATAACATAATTACCTTCACCTTGCATAAACTTATCAAAATACCACCCTGTACACACAAATGTATAAATTTGAATATATAAATTAAAATAAAGTAATAAATTATAAATAATGGTTAAAATATATTTCTTGCTAATATTACTAACAAAAAATAAATTCTAAAAGTATTCAAAATTAAAATGATAGTAAAACTGTGAACAGAAGAAACAAATTTGTTATCTTAAAAAAAGAAAGCTTTGCTACAAATGGGTATAAAAATATGACAGCTGTGACTGCATAAGTTTTTCAGAACTTTTTAGAACAAGAATACAATAAAAAAGGAAAAAATATAGGAAAAGGTACATGTACCATATGTTTGTAAAATCTTTTCTCAAAATTCTGAAGATCAACAAGACAAATAGAGAAAAACTATATCCAAAGGAGCACATGGCTGAAAAACTGAATGCCACAAGATCCACTAAGAAACAGCAAGTCACAGAGGAAAGAATGTATTGCAGGATTGAAGAGGTCTCGTATCAAGCTAACAGGAAATCAATGTCCATCACACAGAAAATGTTCTTCTACTGAATACATTTTTCAGAGCTCCTTTCATATCCCGATTTCTCAGACTATAGATAAAGGGATTCAGCATGGGTATGACCATAGTGTACAACACAGACACAATAACATCCTTCTCATAAATGTTATTAGATAAGGGGAAAAGATATAATCCAATAATTGCTCCATAGTACAGAGAAACCACAGAGAGGTGAGAACCACATGTGGACAATGCTTTGCAGATATCCTTGATGGAGGGAGTTTTCAGGATGGTGGCCCCAATGTATCCATAAGAGACCAGAATGCATATGAATGGTAGGGTAATGACCACTGTTCCTATAGGGAAGATAACCAACTCATTTGTAGTGGTATCAGAGCTAGACAACTTTAGTAAGGCAGAGAGGTCACAGAAGAAGTGAGGCACAGTGTTGTCTCCAAAGAAAGAGAGATGGGATAGGAGAAGGGTGTGCACAAGGGCACTGACAGAAGACAAGACCCAGGACAAAATTATCAGCAGCCAACAGAGGCTCTGATTCATGACTGTAGTGTAGTGGAGGGGGTGACAGATTGCCACATACCTATCATAGGCCATTGAGGTGAGAAGGAAACTGTCAATGCCCCCAAATAATAAGAAAAATTCCTGGGAAATGCATCCAGCATATGAGATGGATTGACTCTGTGTCAGCATATTCATCAGCATCTTTGGAGCTGTGACTGATGAGAAAGAGATGTCAGTGAAGGCCAAGTGGCTGAGGAAGAAGTACATGGGGGTGTGGAGGTGAGAGTCCAGCCTGATGAGCAGGATAATGAGCAGGTTCCCCAGCACTGTGGTCAGGTACATGGCCAGGAACAGGGCATAGAACCTGGTTTGATCCTCTGGCTTGATGGGGAGCCCCAGGAGGATGAATTCAGATACACTGGTCTCATTACACCTCTTCATGCTGTTCTTCTCTTCTATGAGAGATTAAAAGATTGGAAGTTTGAAAGAAAGCAATATCATTACCATTATTACATAATAAAAATAAGATTTCAAACTAGTCAGTACATGCATTTTAACCCAAATATTTCAGGGTTTTGCCACACTAATGGGCAAGTGATAGTCTCAACAGCACCAAAAAATGGAAACATTATTTTTCCACCTAGAAACCAAGTCAACATGAAGCATCCAAATGATTATTAAATTGTGCCAGTTCAAAGTTATTCCATGTTGGAAATCTAATATTACGGATATAAGTGTCTTTTAACCTTCTCTGTGACTCTGAAACACACTTCAGCTAATACTTTATTTCCAGAGATCAGATAAAGTTAAGAGAATACAGTAGGCTGCTTTGTGTCTGCATGATATCAGTGTCTGGAGACTTGAGGGGAGTATCATATGCAGCAGGCTGAAGAAAGGTTTTGAGAACATGCATGTATGTTGATAAGATAAAATAACCAGTGGCCCTCATACAGAATAGAGTGCAGAGGGTGCACAATCTGTCAAAATCATTGGAATGTTTAGATCAGGTATCAGGATCCATTTCTAGTCTCTGTTTTACAGTTATGTGAAAAGAAATCACCTTTGTTATTAATCCTAGTTGCCTTAAATTCTGTCACTTATAGCCAAAAGTCTTGATTAATAATTTCTGCTATTCAAGGAAAAAAGAAACAAGAAAAAAATTCTTTTCCGTACATCATTTTTAGTTTTCTATCACCCTTTTTATAGAAATCTTCATGGAATATAGAGGAAAATTCTCTTTCTCTTTCAAATCCCCTCCTTGTATATTCCTTAAGCTCAAATTAGATCCTTCTTATTCAAGTCCTCATAACACTGGGAAATAGTTGGCTTTTCGAGTCACATCCAGTCTGTCAGGAAGAAGCTGTTTATAAATATCTATCTTGTATTAAGCAAACAACACCTTCTCTTTTCTGGTTCCTAATCTATGTTTCATATTAATCTATGTTTCATTCTTAAAACTGATGTTTTCTTGTCATCATTTTTACATTTTATACTTTGCCAGTCGTTCCTCTCTCTTATTCAAGTCAGTTGATCTTATACTTATTCATGAGAAAAATCACAAAGAAGAGAAAAAGAGAGCTTGATTATCTACTAACAATAGAATCCATATTCTATATAAAGGCTTATTCAATCCGAACATATTTGTATGTGAAGGTGGAGAAGGTGTCACATTTGAGCGGTTAACTGGAGTTTACATTAATGTACAAAACTCCCAAGTTGGTTGAACTTATCTTTAAAATTCCTACCTTGTCTAATCCATTATATTAAAAATACTGCTACTGTGTTGCTATTGCCTGAGATCAGTTATACATTTAGCTATAATACTCATTATCATTTTAATAACTATAAGTTTATCACAATGAAAATATTTAGCTATGTGTTGGACATGGAAGTTGATTCGTTGTTTTGCTACTTCCAGAAATATTGCAATAACATTGTTCATATGCCATTTTGCACATTGTCATATATATCTTTAGAATAAATTCCTAGAGATAGAATTGGAAAAAATATGAATTTATAGTTTTGATAGATTGTTAAATTAAAAGAGGCTAAGGTGGTAAGGATGTTCATTCTCACATGTTTTTTAGATGAGTTAATAAACTAACTTATTACTTAGAGAATATATAAGTGGGCTCTCTAAGTGCTTGGAGAGGACAGGGCTAGGGAACTTGAGGAACACAGAAATGTTAAAACTAAGGTCATTAGGGGGAAGAAATGGAATTGGAGAATTATCAAGCAGTCAGAGTATATAAGGAATTGTCCTCTATAATAGTTTCAATTCTACTCTAGAACAATGGTTCATTGAAGCAAAAATTAAGAAAAGAAGACTAAACATTTTAAATAGTATGCTGCCCACTATTCAAGTCAAATGATAACAAAACAAGAGTACCAGAAGGAGTCTGAATGCTAGATTTTTACAGTGGTTTAGATACAAAATAATACCCATTTATACCTGGATTGTGGAAGTAGAGATGAAGAAAATTACAGAAATTTGATATAAAATTTTTAAAAATCCAAACAACACCTCCTGAGTGTTAAAGATACTGAAAGGGACATATTTTTCTAATTCCCTCTCAAAAATTGTATATAAGATCAGTACGAGGTAAATTATTCTAGATAGAGAGTTGTTTTGCCACACCATCTCAAAATTTATGTAGATACTCAATTCAGAGGAAAGTACTCTACATAGATCTATCTTCATTCTGTCATGTAAGGAGGAGTAGAATCTATAGATCAGTAGAGCATACTGGACACATACAAATATACATGCACACAAACACAATCACACTACTAAATATAAATTCTACCTCTGCTCTGCCATGGCCCTTTAGTTGATGAACACAGGTACCTTCAAATACAAGTCATGGGAAGGTTTTTCCATTTCTTCCACAATTCACAGAGCACAGTAAAATAGGTAGAATCTCAAAGGAGCTGAAACTTCCATTGCAACAATCAGAAGAATTGCTAGTTCAGAATTAAACACATAGTTATATCAATTCACATATGTTTATGGCCCCTGAGACATCAATGTCAGTAATAGTTCTATAACCCATTGTGGGGACTTTGGGGCAATCTCCCAATCCCAGCTCCTAATTGTAGACAAACAGGATATAATTACCTCACTGCCTTTTACTCCTTTTGGGAAGAACTCCTTGTTGAAGCAGGCATAAGAGAGTTCATCCTTGGAGGAATCATAATAACCAAAATGCAGTTCTTAGGAACTTGATAATTCCCAAAAGTTTTGACCTTCTTAGTTTACCTTGGGGAATATGTGACATAGAGTGTGCATCATTATCCAGAGTGAAGGTTGAGTGTGCTAACCAAAGTGTCTCAGTTCCAAATCCCATGCTATTTCAAAAACACCAGGAACACCCCGACCAAAAAAGTGAGGGAAATTATATATCATCACCACCACTAAACCCTGGGGAATGCAGTGTAGTTCCTCTGTTCAAAAGCTAAGGTGTCAGCATTACAGCAGTGTAAATTCCAGCCACACAATAATATAATTCAATATATTTTTATCCAAATATAGTCCATACATCTCCAGCTCCATTTCATCAACACCTGGAAGAAAAGGAATCTCATGTGCTCATTATACAAAAAGAAGATGCATGAATTATTTATAAATATTTGGTTCCATTATATTAAAGTCAATGTGGTTTTGGAACTGCTATCTGATTGAAAAATTCTGTAACATATTTAGACTTATGGAACATTTTCTGGGTCCTATAGATCATGACCAAACATCTGTTACCCTCATAATAGTACTAGAATTGACCTGTCTGTTTTCCTTGAAGTTGAGGGTTAACAAAATTTCCTTCTCAGACCAAAGAACATCATTGCATCTCCTTCCTTCATTATATCTATAAAGATAAAAATAAAATCCATGGCTGTGAGATTTCTCATTTCATTAAGCAATGTAGAGAAAAGTACCACTTTGAATAAGCATATGACTTTTCTATTTCTCCTGAAACAAACTACATTCTCCTAAAAAACCATCTTTGACTTCTTTCACAAGTTTTTCCCATTCTTCTTAGTCTTGTTCAAAATTTTCCCCTGAAATAAATTATAGTTTACTAATAAGACATACTCTCATATGTAGACACAAAAAATGAAAAATAGGCAAATAAACACAAACAAGAATTTCAAAGTATAGAATGTTAAATTGGCCTACAACCACACAATAACAATCAGTGAGAGACCAAGCCTCAAAAAGGTTCCATTGTATATGAAAAGATTGGAAAAATAAATTTGGAGGATGCTCTTTGTTGATAATTGGATATATTAATTGGAGGTCTTAATCACTTGTAATAAAGAAACAATGACTCATTATGATTTTTGTTGAATATGTCTGGGCATGGACCTTAGTCCAATGTCATATTTATACCCACAGATATCTTGCACATATACAATTGTATACAAAAGTAAGAACATTCATAAGAACAATGTTCATTATTTTTAAGGCTGAATAATATTCTATTATCTATGTACACATTTTCTTCATCTATTCATCTGATGGCTGACACCAATGCTTCCATAACTTGGCTATTATAAATAGAGCCATAATAAACATGGGTGTCTCTATTGTGTGATGAATTTCTTCTGGTATATACCAGGAGTGGTATAGCTAGTAGTTTCATTATTAGTTTTTTGGGAAGCCATATACACTGCTGGTGGAAATGTAAATTAATTCAGTCACAACTGTAAAAGAGGCTTTCTTTTTTCCAATGTATGTTTTAGTCATCTTTGTTAAGAATCAGATGCCAGTACCTACTTGGGCTTCTTTTTTGGGTATTCCATTCAACTCCATTCATCTACATGTATTTTTGGTGCCAGTATCATTCTGTCTTTGTTACTATGGCTCTGTGGTATAATTTGAGGTCAGATATTTGAAGACTTCCAGCAATGCTTTTTATCCTCAGGATTGTTTTGGGCACTCAGAATCTTTTGTGCTTCCATATGAATATTAAGGTAGTTTTTTTGTGAAGAATTTCATTCGGATTTTAATGGGAACTGCATTGATCTGTAGATCACTTTTGGTAATATAGCCATTTTTACAAATTCTACCAATGCAAAAACATGGGAGATCTTCTCATGTCTCCTTCATTTTCTTTCTTCATTGTTTATAGTTTTCATTGAAGACATTCTTCAGCTACCTGGCTAAGTTTATTCCTAGGCATTTTTGGAAAGGGAAGGGCTACTGTGAATGTTATTTCTTTCCTTCATTGTTGGTGTAGAAATAAAGCTACTGATTTTTGTATGTTTATTTTGTATCCTGCTAATTTGCCAAAAGTGTTTATCAGGTCTAAAAGTTTCTGGTAATGTCTTTAGGGTATTTTTACTATAAGATTAAATCATCTGCAAGTAGGGATACTTTCACATCTTCCTTTCCTATTTGTATGCTTCTGTTTCATTTTCTTGCTTTATTGCTTTGGCTAAGA